GTGTTTAAGAGGACACCATGATCTCTTTGGTGTCCAACGCGGAAGAGAGGTCTAAGAGGACAAGGATAGCTGCTCCATGAGTCAACTGCCTTCAGAAGGTCGTTCTGTACTCTTGTCATTGCAGTCTCGGTATCACTCACTCAGTCTCAATGCTTCACTCACCAAAAACCAACAATCAGTCACTCATTCAAAACCCACGTATGCCTCACTCACCCACGACACTCACCGGACTTGTCCGCTGTGCCTCCCTGTACGTCTTCATGTGCGACTCCACCAGCGGCCGGAACAACGTGTCGTTAGCCAGAAGACGTATGGCTGCCTCATACCTGCCCAAGGTGTTCGACGTGGCTGAAGGGTATAACGGTAAAATAGACAACACACGGATATATATGACGAGGTGGGGTCAAATGGTTTTAACGTCGCGTTGAAGATTATTGCACTTACATTACGTGTTGGTATCTATGTATGTATCCCACTGAGATACCACGCCACAAGTTTAACATAGATACGACATAGAACGTCAGGCAGAGTAACAACAAGGACCATCTTTTAAGGGGATCGAACGACCGACCTTCCGCTCCCAGGGCAAACGCTCTATCCGCTGGACCACGGAGGCGGTCACACATGTAACTAATCTGATGTACGAGCATCCTCGATAAACCAGCATATTTAGCGCCTCGTCTTACTTTTATAGTTTAAATATTTTAGGACCGCCTTTGTGGTCTAGTGGTGGAGCGTCCGCCCGCAAAGGGGAAGGTCCGGGGTTAGATCACCGTCCGCGTCATACCAAAAGACGTTAACAGATGGTACTTGTTGTTACCCTGTCTGGCTCTCGGCATTAAGGGGCTAAAACAAGGACTGGTCGGCTCGGAGTCAGTATGCTGTGTCTGAGTGGGGTATTCATGTTAAACTGCGGCATGGTATCTCAGTGGGATAGTACTATAAATCGGCATCAGTCAGGACTAGTACATGCAGCCACACACACACACACACACGAACGCACGCACGCACGCGCACATGCACACACACACACACACACACACACACGTGCATGCACGTCGCTATATAAGTGCAATAATCTTGGACGCCCAATTTCACCTCACCTCACTTTAAATATTTCTGTTCACAGTTCAGTTCAGACACAGTTCATACAAAGCCATGTCGTGCGAGGCTAATAAAATGCTATTAAGCTTAGCTTTTGGAATAACTACAGCCATAAAACCTTGATATTGCCTTTTATGTAACAACCAGTATCTACATATTTGACAATTACAAACTTGTGTGATCAAGACCATCTTACCATCACTGAAACAAACGGCGACGGCAAGGACGACTGCAACGCACTTCATGCTGTTGGCGGAGCGAGTCGACGGATGTACGGACGATATCAGGGATATGGGGTTGGGCGTTTTCTCGTCGTATTTATACAGACGGGTATATGTAACTGGGTTCCTCGTTGAGGTGCGAGGTCTCTAAGACGCTTCTTTATTTTATAAAAACGTGACACTGCAAAACATGACTTTTATGGCTGTGTACAACTTATATGATCGGAACATGTCCGAGAGACACAATGGACCAATGAAACGGAGGATTAAAGGTCATGTCCACCAATCACTGTTGGAGAAAGTTTGCCACTGAGTCTCTACACGTTGTTAATAGTAGACAGGACCCAGTCTGCCCAGGCACCTAGACTTGGTACCTACCATTGTGCAGCTCAGTCAACGGCAATCTGTCCACAAGAATTTATTTACCTATTGTATCCTGGTATTACCTGACGTCACTCACGCTGAAATAGATTGTATCTTGACTCACTTGTTCCAAGGTCGTGGATTCTCTTCCCAAAATCCTTTCCTAATTGAGAAGGTTTGCGTCGATCTCACCCTGTAACAACTGATGCACGAGAGGTAACTAATCGCACGTGGCAGATCTGAATGGCACGAGTACTGACCTCCACCGAGCAGTCAGTGGGTACCCGGTAGGATGTGATGGTAATTTCACTGTTTGCATCTAACTCCTCACCCGCAGCTTGTGTTGCATACTCCCCATGGAGCTGATACATTGACTGGGGTAATAATAATGTAGCTTCATGAGCATTTACTATGCGTGGAATTGGCGCATTATGAATAGACTTCTTCTTCTTCTTATTATTATTATCATTATTATTGTTATCACTACTTTTGTATACGCCCCACCGAACTGATACATTGACTGGGTTAGTAACAATGTAGCATTCACTGTGAGTAGAATGAGTGGAATTCTTCTTCTTATTATTATTATCACCACTTTTGTATACACCCCGGGGAGCTATGAATGTCAAATGACTGGGCACAGAGCCACTGGCTAGTGCAATAATGGTGTAGCGCCTAGATCATGGCTTGGGGCAAAGACACGATGCAATGCGTTGATTATTATTTGATTTTCATTTGACGAAGTAACCTTTACTTTTTAAGCTTAATTTGTATTGTGCTCAAAGTAAGTCAAATGTCTTTCTTTGTTTAGTACTCAATAAATCTGCGACACTACTTATACTCCCATACAGCGCTTATAAGCCAGTTATTGGATGTTACATCAGAGATCAATGCAAAAGAAGTGGGACACCCAAGTAGGTATAAATAATTTACATGCAATAAAACCAACTATCGGTTTCACCTACTTGTTGCAAGTCCAGATTTGAAGGTCATTATAGGGTGATGTCGTATTGTCCTATTCTCGCTATACACAGGAATATTTATTGAAAGGTGAGGACCCCAATTCTGTGTCCCTTTTGATTGCTTGACTGCGCTGATATTTTCATCACAAGTGACCAGGTTTCATCCATAAAGGATCTTTTTCATGTAAGATCTCATTTAATTCTTGTTTTTTGCCAACACATTGAGTTAAATGTAAATTTTGATAATTATGTGCACTGTAAAAAAAGTCATTATAATTATAAATAATGAATGAATAACTGAGATTGTTAGTAGCTGTACCATCAAAGGGGGTTGAAGTAACGCACATTGTCAATAATATATATTGTTCCCCTGAGAGGATACGTAAGTCCCATTTTATTTGAATTATGTTTCATCTTTCCATGGTTTTAATCGGAGAATACCTTTTTTAAATGACTTGAACTTCCCAGTTGTCAACTTTCCATTTTTGTCGAGCAATATTTCAGAAGTACCGGCTTTTGGTATTTACATTTCGCAACATTTTAGGTACAATCGTACATGCTCATTGTACCAAGACATACAACTCTTGCGAAGAAGTTGTTTGATCAAGGAAACAACATTCAAGGCTTCAGTAAAGCTTTCAAAAAATATTATGGTAGACATGTGTAGGACATTTCCAAATTTAACGCATCAGTGACAAAAATTATGTCCGATACAATTCCCTATTTGACTTGTACCATTTGTTCCCGTGTTTCTTCAGGTGAACACATGACTTGCCTTTGCATGTGTTTGTGACGGGTGCCAACAATGGGGCAGGATACGCTTACCTTTTCGCGAACACCTGGTATCATCACTATTTGATAGTGATTCATAAACACATGCTCATGGTATAGTCGGAATCGTAAATCGACTCCGATTTGGGCAGATTTATTATGAATATGGAAAGGGTTCGTCGCTTTTATTTAATTAACTGTTTGGCTTAAATTACTAACAATCGCCAGTAGCCAGAGGGATGGTACCATGCAGGAAGCAGAAGTACTGTAAGTCCCCATGGTCCCTAGTATGGTGATCTGACTTTTGTTGCTGGTGATCTATAGCCCATTTTCATAATGCTTTGTTGTGAAAAGTCATAATGTTATGGCTACACGGTAGTCTTAAATCTATATTTGTGATAGCCTAGTTCTTTTACTATCCTTTGGGTTTTATAATCTATATTTATGTGTTATTAAAGTATAACTTGTTTTAGTCAAGATATGGCTGAAATATTGCCGATGTGACTGTAAATCTTAACTAACTCACTCACTTACACTCTAGTGCTGTAACGTATAATCTCAATGTTAACTTAAAGAGATCATTTACTACAATCTCATGGGGAATGCGGGGTGGAAAAAGCCCCAGTAACCTATACCTGTCGTAAGATGCGTCAAAATTGAATCTGATGGTCAGGCTCGGAGACTGATGGTGAATAATTGTGCCGCGATAGGGTGATCGTTGCATGGTCGTGCTTCTTAGTCACTGGTTTGTCTGGTCCAAACACGACACACGAGATTCATTAATATTTATTTACAAACATAATATTACACATATATGTTTACTAAATAACATAACAGTGCAATTGAAGTATAAATTGTGTAAACACATCGATGCAGAAAACAAAGACAATGACGTAAACAAGGCACACAATAATATGCTGATCACATGTTGTGATAGGAAAACGTGTAGAAACCAGAAACATGTACAGTACAGGAATAAGCCAATAAGCCCCGTAAAACAATGGTGTTTCAAATTAATACGTTACTAGCTTAGAGGTGAGGTGAAATTGGGTTTAACGTCGCGTCCAAGATTATTGCACTTATACCGCGACGTGCATGTGCTTGTACTAGTCCGGACTGATGCCGATTTATAGTGCTAGCTCACTGAGATACCATGCCGCAGTTTAACATGAATACCCCACTCAGACACAGTATACTGACTCCGAGCCGACCAGTCCCTGTTTTTAGCCCTTTAATGCCGAGCGCCAGACATGGTAAAAGTACCATATTTTAACGTCTTTTGGTATGACGCGCCCGGGGATCTAACACCGGACCTTCCGCTCTCCGAGCGGACGCTCTACCACGAGACCACGGAGGCGGTGTACTAGCTTAAAGGTCTGATAGTTGACATAGTTAGTATTCCGCGTAAGAATACAGGTCCCTATGGTCAGCAACCCATGCTGGTCGTAAGAGGGGACTACCTGGACTGGCGGTCAGTGTGTTTGTTTGTTTGTTGTTTATCCCCGCACTAAGCAATATACCAGATATATGACGGCGGTCTGTCAATAATCGAGTCTGGACCAGACAATCCGTCTATTGATCTGCAATTGGGATACGGTAACATGCATTTACGAAGTCAGCGAGTTTGACCACTCGATCCCGTTAGTCGCCTCTTACGGCAAGCATTGGTTGCTGAAGACCTATTCTGACCCGGATCTTCACGGGGTGGTTGACGCTTGTCTTCAGCACCTTCATCCTTTGCACACATACACATGCATTTACAGCAGCCCGTCCTTGTCGTAAGAGAGGACTTAAATAAATTGGGGGTCAGGCTCGGTAGCTTGGCTGGTTACATGTCATCGTATCCCAGTTGCGTGGATAAATGCTCATGTCAATCACTGGATTGTCTGATCAAGACTCGATTATTTACAGACCGCTTCGGTTTGTAACCAACAAAGTTACGTCGAACCATGATATTAAACCAGGAAAACCCCTGTGATCACCAACGCGAGGAGTAGAACAGACTGTGCTCCATCTGCAAACGAAAAAGGAATAGAATATTAACAGCACGGGATCGATATTGATACATCGTGAAAAACAACAACATTAAGTAACGCCTTTACAAAGTTCTTATTCAAAATAAAAATAACACATATTGATATTTAGCATTCATATAACATGCAGTTTATTGGACCGACACGGATTTATCGTAAAACAGTTTCCTACAATTTAGTAGTGAGTGAGTGAGTATGGTTTTACGCCGCTTTTAGCAATATTCCAGCAATATCACGGCGGGGGACACCAGAAATGGGCTTCACACAATGTACCCACGTCGGGAATCGAACCCGGGTCTTCGGCGTCACAAGCGAACGCTTTAACCACTATGCTACCCGACCGCCCCCTACAATTTAGTAACGGTTATAAAGTTGATATTCATGTAGTGACGCACATACAAATACATATTCATAACTACATGCAGTTTTTTTTAACAAGTTATTACTTATTGTAAAAATGAGGAAATATTGATTCAAGCGTATAAATTATTCAAATATGTATAATATACATGATGTTTGTGTTATCCAAATGAGGATATGATATGAAATGATATGAGGCGATGGTATGAAATGTCACATGTCAGGAAAAAAACGTTTGTTGTTATGACAGCAAGATAAGTTTTGTAGTGCTGGAATCTGAAAATACAGTGTACACATGTCAAATGAAAATGAAAGTCACTGAAAGACAGTACATGTGTATATAGTATAATTATATTCCAATGTAGGAAAATGAATACACTTTATTCAACAGTATTGCTCGAGGGCGAGTAGCTCGAGTTTTACAGAGTGAGTGAGTGAGTATGGTTTTACGCCGCTTTTAGCAATATTCCAGCAGTATCACGGCGGGGGACACAAGAAATGGGCTTCACACATCGTACCCATATCAAGAATCGAGCTCGGGTCTTCGGCGTGACGAGCTAACGCTTTAACCACAAGGCTACTCGACCGCCCAAGTTTTACAAAGACACCCCGGCCGTTGGTGTTCGTGTAAAGTGCCGTTTGCGCGACCTGTTCACAATATATACACGGACATGGATTTTGGGAGAGGAACAGATGCGAGAACTATACGGCTTTGGTTTTGCTCGCTCTTTGTTCTCGCAACTGAATCTTTATATCCCGAGAAAGTACTGTTATACGTCCTCTGTCCATACTCAGCGTTATTTTTAAGGGATCACGCAGATAATAACAGATAAAGGTATAAAAAAACTTCACATTTTCAACTTCAAGAGTACATTTCGGTTGTATCTGGAATGATTTGGTTAGTTGGTTTGTTGTTTAACGCCGCACTCAGCAATATTACAGCTATATGACGGCGGTCTGTAAATAATCGGACCAGACAATCCAGTGATTAATGTCATGAGCATCGATCCACGCAATTGGGATCGATGACATGCATCAACCAAGTCAGCGAGCCTGACCACCCAATCCCGTTAGTCGCCTTTTACGACAAGCATAGTCACCTTTTACGACAAGCATGGGTTGCTGAAGACCTTTTCTACCCCGGAATCTTCACGGGTCGTATCTGGAATGAACCATTTTATACCCACGTTGACTGCTACTTGTCATGGGTTGCATGTGCATGGGCTAAACCTGGTTGCAGTGCTGTTTTGGGTAGCTTTTTTGGCCTTCTTCAATCTGTCACTTTTCATTTTTGTTACAGCCGTTGTCCATATTTCCAGTTTCCAACAGCCAATCAGTGTGACATAGGCATAAACAACATAATCACATTGTCAGCATACTCAGACCTATTGGCGCTTCTTGGCACCCTTCATATCTGGGTGACTCTTTAATGTGAAGTGAGGTGAGGTGAAATTGGGTTTAACAACGCGGCCAAGATTATTGCACTTATATAGCGACGTGCATGCACGTGTGTGTGTTTGTGTGTGTGGCTGCTTGTAATAGTCCGGACTGATGCCGATTTATAGTGCTAGCTCACTGAGATACCATGCCGCAGTTTAACATGAATACCCCACTCAGACACAGTATACTGACTTCGAGCCGACCAGTCCTTGTTTTAGCCCCTTAATGCTGAGCGCCAGACAGGGTAACAACAAGTACAATCTTTTAACGTCGTTTTGTATGACGCGGCCCGGGATCGAACCCTGGACCTTCCGCTCTCCGGGCGGACGCTCTACCACAAGACCACGGAGGCGGTCTTTTTAATGTGAAGTTTACACGATATACGGCTTTTCTATCAGAAGAGAGGTCGGGCATATGACCTTGCGACTGACATACATAAGCGTATAAACGACACAATTGGACGTTCATACATTTTCCACTCGACCGTGTTCTTGAAATGACGTAAACACTGACGGACTATATATAGCTACTTACTCATTCCCGGGGGAACCCCTGGGAATTCCAAAGCACGAATACATACAGAAGTTTTGTTTCTGATCATTTAGACCCTTAATCTGCAACTCAGCATTTTAGCATACATTGAGAAAGGTCAGAGAGTTTATATGCACGATCGTTCACGAATATCCTCGCTACGACCCATCCGAGCGAATAAAACGTAAACATGCACATCTACTATCGTATCGACTCGATCCGTGTCTAAATTGACAGTTACAGCAATCTATGAATATACCTTACTATCTATTTGACACATCTTTATAATCACCTTTCTCTGCTCTAATCATGACTAACACATGTAACCGCCACAGGTTCATTAAAACTTCGGAAATCTCTCCCGTCACGTGTATCGTGTCGGCCATTTTGACGTCTTGTACTTGATGTAAATGTGTTACGACGCGCTGTCATTGTGACAGACTTACTGAAGTAGTTCATAACAGACCTTTCTCACCCAATGAGGATATTTTTTGAATACATTCCTGTAAACACACTACAACAGATATTCATGTAAAGCAAGTTGAGCATACATACGCTCATGTCACCTCATGTTTTGGGGAACTATTTTGTTCTGCGATAAAGCTGGTTGTTGTATGGCTGTCAATGTAAACATGAAGTCACACGTATAGATCTAGCGTTACATTCCTAGAGTAATAAAAAAATTGACTTCCGCTATGCGAGATTTAATTGGAGTATGAATGAGTGAGTTTGGTTTAACGCCGCTTTTAACAGTATTCCAGTTATATCGTGGCGTGTCAGCTTAATGTGGGAGGAAAGTTCGAAGTAATGCAGGTCTCAGACGTTTACCACTTCGGTGAAATCCACGAGCACGGGTATGTGCTGACAAACCTAGAAACAGAATCGGGGCGAACCGGTATTCGAACCCACAATCATAGGTTTCTGGCGTGCCCAAGGTACTCTGCACAGCAAATTGTTGTGCCTTAGACGACTGGGCCACCCGTGCCCCCTATTGGAATATGAACTTACACAGTGAGGGCCAAACAGTATGAACGTCGGAGCTTGCCAACTCACACAAAGTGAAAGTCAGTTCTCAAATATGTTCATGTTTGACACCCTACATATCTAGGTGACCCTTCAATAATGACGCTGAGTATATTATATATTGAGCCGCTTTAAGATAGAGTTGATGCCACGTACAGGTATCCTTGACGACACATGACCATCACAGAACATCGAGAGACACTTACATGTGCTGCTGGACCCTTGTGTCGAGCACGGGGGTGTGGAGGGATGACCCAAGCACGAGGCTACGGGGTCATCTGGAATGACGTCACGTGTCAACACCTTTAACGTTGACAGTGGACACGACGAACCACATCCTGGAACGAATGAGTGAGTGGAAATAGTGAGTGAGTGCTTTAACGTCTCTTTGAGCAGCATGTCAATTAAATGTATATCAGAGCGTATCAGCAAGTAATGCAAGTCTTAGATGTTTACCACTTTGGTGAAATCCACGAGCAGGGGTGAGCTGCTGACGAACCTAAAACATAATCGTGGTGAACCGGGATTCGAACCCACTATCACTGGTTTCTGGCGCGCCCAAGGGACGCAACTCTGCACAGCAAAATATGGCGCCTTTGCCGACCCATATATGTTATGACAGTGTACATACCCGGTACTGTCAGTAAGTATGGTTGCACGTTGGTGTCATTTCTGTAGTAGAACTCCACAGTGTATCCCACAGTCGCATAGTGGTGGAGCTCCACAAGCACTGCCCCAGCGTACATGATGTGGAGTTGGTTGAACATTCCCATCACGGACAACAGAGCGTTGATGTTCGTGTCGTGCTGCCATACAGAACGTGTTGCCATGGTGATAAGAAAATGTACAAAAATTATTAGCTTATCTCAGAGGACGGGGTTTGATTGGGGCTGTTTGGCCTACGGGATGTGCATATTAACTTAATACATAAGGAAATCGTTTTACAAAAAATCATGAAAGATGTGTTTATAGAAATAAGAATTTGACTTCATTTCAGCTATTGCATGATTTATCGTGGTGTTTGTTTGTTTGTTGTTTAACGCTGCATTCAGCAATATTCCAGCTATATGACGGCGGTCTGTAAATAATCGAGTCTGGACCAGACAATCCAGTGATTGGCATCATGAGCATCGATCCACGCAATTGGGATACGATGACATGCATCAACCAAGTCAGCGAGCCTGACCACCCGATCCCGTTAGTCACCTTTTACGGCAAGCATGGGTTGCTGAAGACCTATTCAACCCCGGATCTTCACGGGTTGATAGGAAAATTTGCTCAGATGTTAACAAGATAGAAATGTTAATACTTTCGTTATCTGTTCCGCTGACTCACAACTATCCGGTTAAAGTAACACCTCATATCTGAGGGTCACATGACTCAATGGTCTACTTAGTATACTCACGCCTGAGAAGAAGTCAATCTTTTGTGTGACGTTGTTAAAGTTGACAACGTCATCCATGTTCTTAATGAACTTCCCTAGCAAGGGGCCTGGAACATGAGTGAGTGAGTGAGTGAGTGAGTGAGTGAGTGAGTGAGTGAGTGAGTGAGTGGGTGGGTGGGTGGGTGGGTGAGTGAGTGAGTGAGTGAGTGAGTGAGTGAGAGAAAGGAAGCAGATATAGACGTCAACATCATGAGTCCCATCATGGATCGTAATCAGATCGAATTCGTGTTTCGAACCCATGATCAGCGGATCCTGGCGCAGTTAAAAAACGTAACTCTGCACAGCGAATTGCGCAGTCGATCTGTGGGTCTTCCAGTTTGTACAACATCTTTGCTTGAGTCTACCCACCCCCTCGTATCCTGGCCATGGGTTTCGTGTGGAACTTTATCTGAGCCTTCATGTCTTTGAGTGCCAGGAACCTCTTGTACACGTCATTCTGTTGGAGCCACGGAGGAAACGTCAGGTTGTGGGCATTCTGAAACAGAATAACTTAGTTATAGTTATAGTTCAGTTATATCACCGCCTGTGAGCTTGATGTGGGATGATAGACCAAACTTAAGCAGATATTCGATATTTACCACTTTGTGAAACTCACCAGCAGGCTTTTGTATTGACAAACCCAGACACATAATCAGAGCGATCATAGGTTTCTGGCACGCCCAAATGAGGCAACTCTGCGGAGCGAATTCCGCCTTCGGCGATAGCACCCAATTTCTATCCCAGTTACTTATTCTGTAAACTCACTCCATCTACCACCCTCTTTCACATTCTAAATCTCTCAATCTCTCTTGTACTCTCTCACTCTCTCTTGTACTCTCTCTTGTACTACATTGTACTCTCTCTTGCACTCTCACACTCTCATTTGTACTCTCTCTTGTACTCTCTCTCTTGTACTATATTGTACTCTGACTCTCTCTTGTACTCTCTGACTCTCTCTTGTACTATCTCTTGTACTACATTGTACTCTCACTCTTGCACTCTCACACTCTCATTTGTACTCTCTCTTGTACTCTCTCTCTTATACTATATTGTACTCTGACTCTCTCTTGTACTCTCCCACTCTCATTTGTACTCTCTCTTGTACTACATTGAACTCTCACTCTTGTACTCTCTCTCACTCTCTATTGTACTCTCTCTTGTACTACATTGTACTCTCACTCTTGTACTCTCTCTCACTCTTGTACTACACTGTACTCTGACTCTCTCTCTTGTACTACACTGTACTCTGACTCTCTCTCTTGTGTACTCTCTTACTCTCTCTTGTACTCTCTCTCTCTCTCTCACGCCCCCTCACGTAAACACCAGATATCCATACTGAGTGTATATCAGCTTTTCGCAGCCCTCTGTATGCCCGGAGGCCCCCTCGTCCCACTCACCTCTACATATATGGGGTCAATCATGTCCAACAGACTTTCAAAGTTGGGCGGATACCCCGAGTGTTGTCCAAGTAGATCGATCAGATCCTGAAAGAACAATGAAGTCATGAAGTACATGAGTGAGTGAGTGGGGTTGGTTTACGGGGAAACTGTATTTCAGTCATATCACCGCGCCTCAACTTTATGTAGGAGGAAAGTGATGCATGTCTTAGGCTTTTACCATTTCGGTGAAACCCAAGGGTTGGTTCTGACAAAGCAGGATCATATTCATAGCAAACCTCGGATAATCCGATCCACACACTCCTGAGGGACGACAACCTGCACTCGTGCCCCCGTAATGCCCCCTTTTATATTGGATAACACCAATACAACCATCGTCCTAGATTAATCAGGCTGATCAGCTTAGTCCACAACTACAAATGCTACTGCTGCTGCTACTACTACTACTACTGCTACTACTACTACTACTACTACTACTACTACTACTACTACTACTACTAGAAGAAGTATTCTTTATACTATTACTACTACTACAACTACTATTCCTTCTGATACTGCTGCTACTATTACTACTACTGATGCAACTGCTACTGCTACTGATACTAGTGATGCTGCTGTTACTACATGTACTCCTGCTACTACTGCTGCTACTACTACTACTACTACTACATGTACTCCTGCTACTACTACTACTACTACTACTACTACTACTACTACTACTACTAAAAATTTAATGAAAAATTGTAATGCACCGAATCCGACCACTGATGCATGCTCTCAGAGCTACTGTATTATGTTCCAGTGAGCACGCGAACTTCATTCTCAGCTCCCTCGGGAGTATACGACAGCGGTAATGGAACGCTGTGCTGAGTAATCGTGTCACATTCACATCTGCAACATCGTCAATAGAAGGGTGGAAATAGTACCTGATTCTGTGTCACAAACTGTTTAATATAGCCCGTTTTCGACAGTTTGTATGCCAGGGCATCGTACGTGGGGCACTTCATTTCCAATATCTGAAGAAAAATAAAAAATTGAAAAATAAAATTAAAACTGCCGCTGATACTTTAGTGCGGGCATTGTACCATGTAGGGACTCGAACAGATCTCTTCGGCTTGAGTAACCAACACGTGAACCACAAGACTACCCCACCCGCACCATTCAAGTTACAATGTATTTTTTTAAAGGAGATGTTTAAGATGGGCGAGCGAATATGTACCATAGTGCAAAAAAGTATTCGAATTATTCTATTGCGTTATTGGCCCACCGACCGTAAGATAAGTGAGTGCGGTTTAAATGGTCGTGTAGCAATATGTTAGTAATATCGCTATGGAGAACTCTGCGATACTGCAGGCTGGCATTATCCCGTTGACATCACATTAATCACGTTCGCAAAAAGAAATGTGTACGTTTTCGAAAACGCAATATATTACTTGGGACAGCCAAGTGGGGTTCGTATTCTGCACAGTGTGATATGATGAGGGGAGACTGTGGAATGTACCGGGGATTAGAACACGGGTCTAGTAGTGATGAGCAAACACCTTCATCACTAGGTTACCGAGTGACACGACTGACACCGTCTGAATGGTATGACATCGGAGTGAAATATTTGAGTTAATGAGATTGAGGCCAACTTGGTTGTCAACAGAAGGTCCCGCCATCATTGTACGATGACACAGGCGTCACATAGACTGTACAATCCATACACTGCAAACACGAAAACGTCGGGTTTTTTCCGTATATGGTCATTGGACGGAAAAACGACTAAAAATTCATTAAAATTGATTAATTGGTGAGCGTCTAGAAAGTGTGCAGAAAAGGGTCGAGTTTTTCAAGCGTAAAATGGACGGAAAAACGATGCTTTTTGCTCCGCCTTGTACAACTGTTAACGGCCAATCAGATGGCGCTGGTCCCCCGACGCACGTGATTCCTAAGGCTTCATTTCGAAAGCTTTAGGTTTCGTATTTCTGGCATGCCTTGCTCTAGTATTTAGTATCTGTCGCGCGCAGTGCAGCGAGATTTGCTGATAAGCCAGTTTTAGGATATGTAACATGTTAATGGAATTCAGGCACGCGCCAAGAAGTCAAACCAAACAATGTTACCAAGTTTATTGTGGTAACATATCCCACGGCTATGAACAGTTACCCCTATCGGATAATGGGTTGTGTTTTATTTGGTTATAATAATAACTAATTTTGTAATGTGAAGTTTACAAGATATACGGCTAGGACGAGAGGTCGGTCACATGACGTTCTTCACGTGACTGTATTCTTGAAATGGCTCTCTCGTAGTGACAATCTACAGCAATCTATGAATTTACCTTAGTATCTATTTGACACATCTTTACAATCACCTTTCAACGATCGGCCAATTGATCAGGTTAATTAACAACTTCGGAAATATCTCCCGTCACGTTTATCGTGTCGGCCATTTTGACGTATTTTACTTGATGTAAATGTATTACGACGCTCTGTCATTGTAATTGACTTACTGAGGTAATTCTGAAAAAAGATCTTCTCATCTAATGAGGATATTATTTGGAATATATTCCTTGTAAACATACTAAAACATGAGGGGGAGGGGGGGGGGGGGGGGGGACTATTTTATTCCGGGATGGCCTATTAAAGTTAGCAGTAAGTCAAGGCACCATGCGTGTATATGATCTGTTATTATATGTGTTTAAATTACGGTTTGGGGCGTTAATAAAATACACTGACGCAAGTATCTTCTATTCAAATCAATTGGATAATTGAATATGCTTTCTTTTACATATTACATAACAGCACTGCACAACATTTGAACAGTTGCAGTAACACTACGGTAATCACATTAAACACCATTTTCAACTCTACAGTATTTCAGTATTTCAGTTATATCACGGTGTACAGACTGATGTGGGATTAAAATCCGAATTGGTTCAGGCCATCCAACGGGTGTTCGGGAAAAGGTGAGCGTATCCTGCCACACAAGTGGCACCCGGCACAAACACATGCAAGGACACCTGAACAAAGCACGGAAACACACAATGATGCCCGTCCTCACTTTTACCGAGCATGTAAATTATATTGTCCGTCAAAAACATGGACGAGTATAAAAAATATGTTCATTCACGTAATACATGTCATACATTTTGACAAAATGTATTGACTCGGAGCATTATTGTTTATCACAACGTATAGACTCGGCATGCAGTTGAACTCATCACCCATCCCATTATTGATAATCCTTCTTGAAGATCTATGAAATCAGAAGCTGCAACACTTTATCTTTTAATTGGCATGTCAGACTTCTATTTCATAACTCAGTTTTATTTGCACGGATCACTATGGAAGGGACATTGTCGCGTTGTCGCATTGTCGCATTGACGCCCTTACAAAAACAAGCAAAACGTGTCAAAATTAACAAAAGCGCGACAATTGGCCATTTGTCGCATTGTCGCGTGTTTGCATTGTCGCTCTTTGAATAATCCTTTTCTTTATTTTACAAAAGGGCGACGATGCCGTAACGCGACATTTTCAAGGTCAAAATATGTCTCGTTGTCGCATTGTCGACCCATCACAAATGTGTATAAAAGGCGTAAAGTTTAGTTAATGTTACAGTTAGGAAGCGGTAACCAAGTTACATCTGTCGTAGAAGTTCAACCTGATACATGGAAGTCTTGAAATGAAAAAAAGTCCGTCCGCGAGTCCATAACGTTTTATTGTGAGCTCTTCTCTAAAAGTGCTTAGTGTTCGACTCCCAGTTCAAAACACGTAGTACCTCATCAACAATCCACATACCTCTAGTGCAGTGGTCTTCCGGAAGATCTAAGTCTTGACCGCATTAGGCAACTGACGAGTGCACGCCTGACCTGTGACCTCGTTGCAACCCTCATGAGGTGTTTGCCGAAGGGAGAGGGGTAGGAAATGTGTGCTCCAGCCCAGCGCAGAGCTCGCGACACACTGTATACTGAATGGTGTATACAGTATATTGCAGTTGATATACAGTATACTGCATGTGATACTTATTAGCGGAAATGTTACAACTTTCAAGATTCAAGATTCAATTTGCATTTATTTCATATACAACAGACCGCCGTCATATATCACTGGAATACTGCTCAGTGCGTTAAAACAATTTGTTTTCATAATGGAGCGCTGCAGTCATTTAAAATAGAACCGTAAACATATGTAGTACCAACTCACTCACTCTGTTTCGAATATTCAGCCGAAAATATATTATTAACCAGGTCTTTGGGAAGAGATATCAGATTTTTATAAGCAGTCACAGGGATGATAAAGGAGCCCTCGCTGATTGGGTTCTTGTTTACTTAAGAGCAGAGTTGGCCATGTTAGATGATATAACCAAAATCCAGGAGCTCCGGCGGGGGCAATCTGGTCTTGTTAGTGTATGGTATGAGCTGTGGCGTTGACCCAAGAGAATAATGTAAAAAATTAGACCAACTCAAGTCTATAATGATTGGGAAAGTCTAGATTTCCACAGCCCTAGCCTGAAATTAAGAATTGTTCTAGGCTCCATTTTAATTGTATTATGTTGATTTTGTAGACATGGACCAACCAGGAGAGAAATTGATGGAATATTAATATCACATGTTACCACTGATCCAGTTAAATTCATCACACAATAATATGTTAGTATTTGACATTACGGCATTTGATTATTAGGGCATGATCATTTACATGTTCACTGTAGTAATGTACACACCAGTCAACTTGATTATAATTTTTATTATAGTGTAGCGCGGCATCAACGATTACTTTATGATATCCTCACTTGTCATCGATGTATTGACATCGAACAATGGACGACAATTCGAAATTCTTATAAATAGCTTCAATAGGGACAGCGCCGGTGTCAGTACAATTTTCCTAGTTAAAAATATGTCTCTACAAAATATAATCTGAAGCAGACAAGAACAATATTTTTTTATTAATGCTTACTTTCATGGATAGAATTGAGGCAATCTAGGCTTGCCAAATCGTTCTAGACTTGAGCTGGATTCCTTTTAAATTTATTCTCTATGGTCTGGGAGACGAACGGGCGTCAGTATCGCATGGAGAACTGGGACAGCCTGAATCAGTGTAATCGGATATGTTGTGGAGTTTCGGTTTTGGGCTGTTTGATGAATAGAACAAGGGCTCACGAACAAGGGCACAATGTAGAGATTAAATCATTACCACCTCTCTTTATATCAGATATGTTATTGTGATTTGAAATCTCTTTTAGAGAATTGCGAGTTATGTATACTCTGTATTCTTTCGTCATGGTAGCATATATATTTTCTATGTTGCTTTTTGAATTATCCACAAATAATGATAACTACAATGTAAACCTCTCTTTGGAGATATACAATAATACTACTGAAGGGCATATCTGAAAAATGGGACTTATCGACAATTATTTCTTTCCTAAATACTACCCGTTACAGGCATTCTGATCATTATATTATACTTTGTACAGTTTAAAAGTCAAATAATGGCAAATTGTGTATCTTTCTACATTTTGAATTAATTATAATTTCTGCAATAAAACCTTAGCATCAGATAGTGATATAAACGAATATGATCTATACTGTGATAAATGAATTATCAATTTCGTATTATGAATTAGATAAACAGAAATATGATAGTAAAACAAATTATTTTAATCTGTTCGTGTGAGTAGGTAACGAGAGATCTAGGCAACTCACTAACGTAGCCATTTGTGAAAAATGAAATATTAAAAGTTTAGAGGGTTGAACATGTACATGTACATTGAATGACAGGGAAGAAAGCAACGCAATAATTAAATTATGAATCCAATAATGTTATAAATATAACAAAAAATATAGAAATATAAGTTTAATTTATCATTGTTGGAAGGTGTTTAATAATAGATTTTGTTTGTTTGTTGTTTAACGCCGCACTCAGCAATATACCAGCTATATGACGGTGGTTCGTAAAAAATCCAGTCTGGACCAGAGAATCCAGCTATTGACATCAAGAGCACCGATCTACGCAATTGGGATACGATGACA